TCAATGTGCTGCCAGTGTGATAACTGACAAGAAGTGGTGTTAATATTGTAACAGAAAATTAGAAAATTAATCAAGCAGAATTGTTAAGTTTCTAGGTTCTCTTAAAAGCTGAACTTCAGACTCATATAAAAGACACATGATGTAGCTTGTCGGAATGCTAAGAATTGAAAAATTGTATTGGATCCCTAGGATGGTGTTATGACTGCATAGCTATCCTGTTCTTTTATCATATACATCCATAAGTTTAGTATGATATAACCTTCTTGCTGTTTGGTTTTAGGCTTCCTGTTTATTTTTTTTTTATTTTTTTTTGTTCCAATAAATTTTTATTCAACACAAAAGTAATTTCTTATTTCGGTCTCCGTCACATTAGACCATCAAAGTTTGATCAACAGGGTTACAAAGGTTGAGCATAGGTAAAAGACACACAAATAAAACAGAACAACACTAATTTTCGTCCATGGTAGGCTAAATTACAGATGAGCTATCCATAGTGCCGGTATGGCTGATCCTTACAGATATCATACAAACATTTAGGAAAAGGAAAAAAAAAAACCCCACAAAAAGGGGGAAGCAATTTGTAGGATAACCGTCTGAACCATACATTAACCAGAGTACATCAGTCCAATCACCATGTAAAATGGCATGTATGATCCGACGTCACTAATAACAACCTAGTAGGCTTCCTGTTTATGATTGCACCCAGTTGGGAGGAAAAGACTAGGGTATATTGATCCAGAGGGAAACCAAATAAAGAATAAAGGTAAAATAAATTGTTTAGTTTAGAGTAAATGGCAGAACCTAGAGCAGGAGAAGGCAATTTTGAAGGCAATTCATTTTACTCCTATATGAAGTTGAGCTTCTAAATGTTTCTTTCCATTCTTTAAGGTCAAATGTCAAATTTTTACAACTTTTAATTTGAAATGTAGTTTTCTTTAGTGGAGATGGGTTTGTGATTTCAGCAGACACGTATTTATATGATCTTTCAGCAAAAATGTTTTAGAGTAACTATTGGTTAAGACTAACAATTGGATATAAATTCTTTTCAACCCAATTAACCAAAATATGTTTGTACAGTAACCCTATTGCAGCCTTTCCCAACCATTTTACCCTCAAGAAATCCTTGAAAACATCTTGAGATCTCTGGGAGCACCCTAAAAAATACCTTTCTAATCTATAGCCTGTGATATTTAAAGGAGAACTATAAGGTGAGTGAAAATCACTCATCCTCATAGTCGGAGCCGACTCGTGACAATGAAACTGTCGCACGTCGGCTCAATAGATCGGGAAGTGAACTAACGCATACCGTCGTTTGCTCACTTCTCGATCATCTCCCTGCAGAGATCGATCCCCGCAGGGATTCCCCCACTTCCCGCTCCCATCCTCCAGCGCTGAGTGGAGGAATGGATGGAGGAGGGGGCGGGTACAGCTGCCTCTGCCTTTAGATGGGCAGAGCCAGCACTCACACAGCTGGGTGGATCTCGACAGCATTGTCGGGATCCGTCCCAGCTTTGGCGGTCTCAGTATACCGCAAGCGGTAGCTCGCGATATACTGAGCTTTGGGTCACAGGAGGAGACTAGTACCCCATAGTTTTTTTTTTATGTTATGATTGAGATGTAAGTGAAGAAAATAATATACAAATATAACAAACACTAATAAAATATATGACAGACTTACAACCTAAATTCATACAAAATACTAAACAACCTAAAGCAGAACCATGGTTGGAAAACCCTGCACTAATGTCTTGTGGAACCGGAAATATTTAGCCAATAATCTGGTGTATGTAATGGAGATAAATTCTGTCTTCAATGCACACATTCAGTAGCTGTCCACCGCACCTACACTGTGTTGCCGAAAATGCTGCAGGTGCGGTTTTTCATGCAATTAAGTGCAATGCTAGCCCATTGCAGAGTAATAGGCTGCCTTAACGCATGCAGTTTCATGCTTTTGTGGCAGGCACAGCGTTAACACCCCTACAGATGTGAAGAGACACTGAATGTTCTTGGTTATGTTTTACCAATTATGCTTACCCTTATGTTGTTAGCCTACAAATACGACAATATTTTTTTCTAAAAATTTTGTAATAAAGATTTGTAAGTAGTTCTGTGTTTTGTGCTTTTGGTTAATTCTACCATTAATATAGAACACCTCCCAATGTACAGTATCATGCATTTGTAAAAAGAAAACGCAGCATAACAATATGTAGTAAATGGTTCTTAAATTGGACCTCTCAGTTTACAAATCTGCATCAATAAATTCCAGTCTTGTCACAATATACAGAGTTGGTATAATTCGAAACCTTATTGTATGTGTTTTGCAGTGATTTACCTTTGCATGATTTGTCACAGTCTTTCAGTTCTTGTTTTGTCTTCAACCATTCTCTTTATTATCCTTTTCTTAAACCTGAACTTCAGGCAATGTTTAAATACACAGGTGATTTACATTTGAGGGGATGTTTTACCTGCCAAGGGATTTGCATATCAATGCATTAAGTCCTGTAATTTAGATATTTCTGCCACATAGCACAGGCAGGTAAATTTACACCACTTTCTCTTTTACAGTTACGGAATACATGCCTGACACCAGCCCATCCCAGGCCTATTGATTGGATAGTTAAAGAGCAGTAGCATGCTTAGGAGCTCCTTGTTAGCATATTTGCATGCAGCTCACCATATTGTCTTCCAGTGCTGCCCCTCCCTCTCCCAGTGCTGCTGTACAGAGGGTACACAAGGCTGAAATAAGGTCCAATTGGAGTACAAATGTTCACATTCTAAGATTTATTAATAAGCACAGAACAACATTTATATAAATGACTGGGTGTCTTTTACAACTGCCTGAAGTGCAGCTTTAATGGCATTTTAGATAGGTGATATTGCAGGAGGAAGTTTTAAGATATATTTTTATAGTCTTCTCCTGCCTTTTAAAGTCTGTTATTATCTGTCTCTATTAAAGAGACTAAGAGGCACTGATGCAGGACGCATAGATGAGAGCAAGTCATACAAACCTGACAGCAATACTTTTTGTGACTTCCCAACTTTATCCAAAAAAAAAACTTTGGCTAGAATTTTGTTTGAAGGCTTAAAGAGGCTGTGTCACCTTGCCCATACAGGGCAAAGTAACAGTGTTGTTGCAAAGGACCCCCACTCCCCTTACTAGCAATCACTTGCTGCTCTTTCCACAACCGGTGAAATAGAGATTGTTGTCAGCAACCCGGTTGAATGATTACAGTCATGTCTAGCTATTGGCTACTAGACCCGGCACTGTCACAGGGGAGGCGGTTTGTATACAGCTCTATATTTGGAATTTCCGAATATTGTGGATGGCTGCCAACTATGAAAGAGTGGTGAGGGGGTACTGGTGAGCATAGGGGTTGGGCTCGGGCAGGGGCCTTTGCAAAGATGCTGTTCTTTTGTCCTGCCAAACTTAGTTTTGGGACCTTACAAACACTATTAGATCAGTTGTCTGAAACTTTGCCTCTTTGTATGCCCTCATAATGGTAAGCAGGAATGGGGTGTAGGATTGTATTAATGCTCTTTGGTTAGTCTTCATACTTTGGTAGGTTTTCATAGTTTGGTAGGTTCTCTTGTCAAGTGGTCATACCAATTACTTTTGCCTGTTATAAAATAAACATGTTAACATTATTTGTTTAGATACATTTCTCCTATAAGGAATACCTTTTACTTTTTGGAAATAATTATTTTCTTTGATGGGTCTGAAACACAAAGCTAAATTCATTGTTTTTTTTTTCCCCCTCAATAAATGCCTATCTTACAGTAATTGATTTTCATTTAAGTCGACTCTCTTAACATTCTCAGATGGTGTTTGTTGTCAGTGAGGCTTATTTGGTCATCAATAGGAAACCTTTTGGTCAACTTGTTAAAACTCTGCCTTAATGATATGCCTTTACATGTCTGCAATTTTGTACTTGCCCTATAGTTGGAATATGAAATCTCTTACTAGAGCAATGCATTGTATTGGTGTTCATTTTCCAATTTCTTGGTTCAGTGGTTGCATCCACATGGAAAATCATTTGATATGTAAGGATAATGCATTCTGCATGTGCATTTTCATATTATTTTGTTTCAAGACATAAGAACAGAACAAGAATAACATTGTTTTTCCAAGAAACTTTTTTCTATAATGTCAAACAGGCATTCACATCAGCTGTTGATTTCCCATAATGGGCATAGCATTAAAGTTAAAAGTATCAATGATTTCAATGGTCTTCTCTTTTTAGAATTGTTTAGTTCATGTGGGGTAATACAAATTATGATTTGTCTGCATTCCTAAACTGTGCAACTCTTCTCTGATCATATCTGCATGCAGATATCTAGGCACTTCAACATTTTGCAGATGAATTATACACCTGGTGTGAGCATCCTTAAACAAAATGGGGTTGCAGAAACTATGTTTTTTAAGGATACTAGTTCAGATAAATACATAGACTGCCATTACTAAGCTCTGCTTTTCAAAATACTTGGTACATGGCTGTTATGTTGATCCAAAGGCTTCAAATCTTTGAGTGACTAATCTGCAGCAAATATGCCGACCAGGATTTCTGGCTTTCTTCTGATAATGCTAGCTCCAGGTCAGTGACTCTGAAATAATTGATACCAGAGACAACCAGGGAACAAGCAATGTTCACAAGGAGGTCAGAGCTGACGGTCTCCATATTTCTCTCAGTACAGGTTTACTTTAATATAATCAGTCTACTGCATTGTTTACTAAAACAGGGACCCTTGACTATGCTAAGTAGACAAAATGGTCAAAGGTTAAACCGGCGAATAGTAACAATGATTCTGGTGTTTCAGTATAAATTCTGCTGTAAAACTTGATTTCACATTTACGACATTCCTTGTAATGGTATATGATTCAAAATTGTGCAGCAGAAATAGGATTGATATTTCAAGCCAGTATATATAATAACAGTATAAACTGTTCAACACATGTTGTATTAATGTTTTGTTTTATTTATGTCTCCTTTCTTGCTTTTCAGCATTATATTCAATTATTCTGTTCTTTGTGTTTTTGTGGATCCCCTTTGTCTATTTTTACTATGAGGAAAAAGATGAAGAGGACCGAAGTCACTGCTCAGTAAGTTATTTTGTAATATCCATCATCATTTTTATTTGAATTGTGTGTACATTTTGCAGTAACCAGTGTTAAAGATATTCCGGGCAAGCAGTAAGGTACTAATACATTTTCACTAATGCATTTTTCACCCTTTACACCTTAATTTTGTGTAAGTCACTGTAGTCGCAGGCACCTCCATAGGTGCAGTCAAAGAGTAGGAAGAGTGTGCTTCCTGAATCCTGCACTATGTAATATCCTTCTCTCTTTGCTTAAAGGAGAACTATGAGGTGAGTGCTTTTCACTCACCTCATAGTTCTAGCCGACCTGTGACAAATACATCACAAATTGTATTTAAACTTCCCAGGCAGGAAAGAATCTGATTGGTAGCTGTGAGAAACCTCTGCTAAATTTTGGTGCACTATAGCAGTACCTTAAAGTGATAAAGTCAAATGCTGATGAGATCACTTACAATGAATCACTGGCCCTGATACCCTGTTTTAGGGGTCCTATAAAGCCATCCTTGTGTGTGCTAGTAGGCTGTGTGCGTCTCCACAAACACAGGCATGGCAGACCAAGCCACACCCTGTTGCCTCCCTTTTTCCTTTTCCAAGCTAGTAGATGGGACAGCTCCTGGAGACTGTTCTGTCCCTTGTGATCTTGAATTCAATAGGAAGTTTAGGGACGCTGAGCAGAGCAATTTGAAGCCAGCTGTTTGGGAACATAAGTATTGAAAAAAAGTTTGAGAGTTTAATACTACTTCAATCGAACACTGTGAACAGATAAGCCACACTACCTGTATGCATCTTGAGACTTTATTTTCAATTTTGGCTAAAGTTTACCATGAAAGTGCAACTATAGGCTTCTATATGACAGTCTAAACAACTCCAGTTACTAATGTGATGCACAAGCCCCATAGAGTAAACAGACAATTTCCGTTAGCTCCCCTGAGTGAGCCAAATCCTCCATTCGTGCCTCACATTCTCCCATTCTCAGACACTGCAGCCTACAGTGGGAGCGTTTCAGCAACATCGTTTGTGCTGTAAATCTGGAAAGCAGTGGGCAGGACTACAATTGTCAAAGTACCGATTGACAAGTTACAGGCTTGTGAAAGAGCAGTGACAACTCTGACAGCCACTCCCCCTACAACATTTCCTTATACCACTGTAGTGCAATCATGGGATTGATAACACTGCTTTAAATTCAGGCAGTGCAGCAATGTTGCCACACCATCACATCAAGCTGCATTAGGTGAACTTCAATGGCAGGATCAATAGGTGAGACTCTGTAGGGGGGCTAAAACCTGTGAGTGCAGGTGCACATAGAATTAAGTGCTGCAGTGCTTTTAATGAGAGTCTATAATTATACTTTTAATGATTGCAGTACATTTACGGTGAGATTGCAATCTGATACATACATTCCTGCCTCTACTGCTCAAAGTAGCACCAATATCAAACTTGCTTTTGACCACTTCTAACAGGTGTGTCTAATATAACCTAAACAAATTATACTGATGTGAATGTTTGTTTATGTGCCTATAGCTGTTGCTTGATATGGATTACAGGCTCATTGGATGCAAACACAGACAAAACCATTACAGTTTGAGAAATGATGCTTCCAAATGTTTACTTGATAAGTGCCTGTATCTGCCAGTGCCTTGCTTGATAAGTCTCATTTATTTATCATGCTTTTTTGACACCAGAAAGCCGTTTGGTAAACATGCTGCTGGTGTTTTTTTGTGCTCTTAGTTGTTTGGCAGTGAACGAAAAATCTTGTGGAGCATAGCGAGCTTACGTGCTGAGTACATTTTATGTTTGTGTCAATCATTTGTGTCGGTAGTGATGCCATAGACAGTGCATTACTTGAGCCACTCAACAGAATGCCATTACAGCATGCTGATTCAGCATAATTCTGGTGTAACGATCATGAGGGACCTATGTGCTCACTATGCTCTGATAAAAATTGTCAATTCTCTGTAGTTAACGCTTCAGCAATAATTTCTAAAGTGTTAAATCATTGTTGTGCAGCCAGTTAAGAAATAAAATACATAAATGTTATATGGTTTGTGTTTTAAGTCATTTTGTTTTTAAGAAAAAATGTATCCTTGTGAGATGAGTCATTTCTTATTGTAAATCTTAGCATATTCTTAAATTGGGTCTTAAAGCAAAACATTAGTTTGAAAAAAAATTGCAATTCAAAGTCTCTACTGCCAAAAAAAAGACAAAAAAAAAAACCTTCCTCTGGCTTCTAGCATTTAAAAAATAATAGTATATGTTAGCTGTTTTGTGCAGCGTGCAGATTAAAGGAGAACTATGGGGAGAGTGAAATGCACTCATCCCCATAGTTAGAGCCGGCGTGTGACACTGCAGCTGTCACACCGGCTCTATAGCTCAAGAACTAAGTGATCACAAATGGCTGATCGCTCAGTTCAGTGTCTTATCCTGTAGAGAACGGTGTCAGTCAGTCACTGCTCCTCACAGGCATTCCTTTCTCCATTTATTCTGACTCCGATCGTTGTGATAGCAAAATATATCCCTTGCTGAGACCTCTATGCCTGGCCTGTATAAGCAGATATACTCCACTGCGGACAATCCTCGTCAGATAGCTGAACTCGTCAATACCGATTCATTCAAAAGAGGTGTTTATTCTTTAACATCAGGTTACAGCAGATGATAGGAACAGCAGTTGAACGGTTATAGTATTGTGCGGTCAGAAAATGATGCCTTTCTTACGTACTGTGCAGATTACATGTGTGTCCTTGTTACATGTGGCTCTTAACTGTGGCCATGACACAGGAAGTACTGCACACAGGAAGCATGAAGGGGCGTACACTAGGGGAAAATACATCGTCACATGAGGAATAATTACAGAAAAACATGTACATTACAACAAAAGGCCACTAGATGGCAGCATAGGATAACACATGGATTTAACTATGAGAAAATAGTTAGGCAAATCACACTATATAAATTCTAACCTATATAACAATGCTAATATTAACTGAGGCTATGCATCTCATATTCTATGCCCCTATTGGGGCGGCACACCATTCCTCCAGTGCTGACTGGAAGGACAGACAGGGGAGGAGGTGGGCACAGCTGACTCTGGCTGTAGAGAGGCAGAGCCTGTTGTCAATCAGGTAGCGGGGTGGTTCCCAACAATATTGTCGGGATCTTTCCTGGCTGCAGTGCGGCTCTGTGCTGTCAGCATATTGCGGGCAATGGCCATATTTACCAGTAAATGTCCTTGTGACACAAAAGAGAACTAATGCCAAAAAAGATTTGCCCATAATTCTCTTTTAAATGGAGCCGGGTGATAGGGACAGCATAGCCCCTCAGCGTATATGCAGTAGTTACATCATCAGATACTGTTCAATGGCTAAAGGGTGATGTGGGACCTGAAAGAAACAGTGGAACAGATTTTGGCAGTGGGGAAGTAGCAGCTACTGTGAGCCTGGACCTCCCAGTGCTAGAAGAAGGCACACTAGTAGGCAAAAATTAGGTAAAGCAAAGGCTTCACTAATCTCTCATGTATTCACCCATTCAGTTAGTACACCCCTTTTGGTTCTACTTTCAAGAGGGTGCTCACCAGGATGTTAGAAAAGGGTATTCAGGGGTAGGTACCCCATTCTAAGGCCTGGGTGTTCTAAACCTAGAATTGCTTACTCGACCCTTCGTTATCTATTAATCTTTTCACATGTTTTTAACCAGTTTGCCTACACAGCTCAAAAATAGCCATGTTATTTCACATTTACGTTCACTATGTAGGCTTGCCATGTGCTGAAAAAATACCAGTAGTGGTTAACATTTAGCCACAAATAGATCAGACCTATAAGTAGTCCATTCAATATATTTGTAAAGTACCAAATATAATTAGATATGAATGTATTTTTTTATGTGTTTTAATGATGAATTGCTGGAAACCAGCCAGTCTGGCAGACCTGCTATAAATGTAAGCTTATAGCTTATATTTAGCTTTTCCAAATGTGGGCAGCCAAACACGAGCAATGGAAACTAATTGGTTGAAAAAAAGTATGCTATTTTCAGAAGTGATTGTTTAAGGAATTATAATAGTACGCTTAAAACAAAGCAACTAAATCTTAAAGCATGTTAGTGTAACACCAGAAATAAATTACTATTCACTTGAAACATTGTTTCCAATGACAGGCTCTCTATCTCATTAACATTCAAGTAACATTGATCCCAAAATAGAACAAGTTCTGTTATCAGTGTGTTGACAAGCACTATTTGTTGTATAATAAACAAGGAGGGATTGTCTTTATTAATATTTTGTTCTATGACTAGCCCATTACTATAGTAATTTGTGGTTTATTTTTGAGAGCACTGTAGGCATATGCATGTTGTTTTTTGTCCGAAAGCTTTTAAGCATTGTCATTTAAGATGCATGAATCACAAGAGAATCATCTACTTTCAGGAATACTTAAATGATAAGATATTTAATTTATAGCTATAGCCTAGTGTAAGAAATTATCAAGGTGTCTTGCTTGTAAAGTAACATTTACCTCTGAGCTACAGGTTCTTCCGGTAATTTTCACCTTTTTCCAGTTATGCTGCTGTGTTGGTTTGGAATTATGGTAGCCATGTTTTTTTCTGTGTTGAGATTTCTAACTCAAGCTCAGTAGCTTGGAAGATTAGGAAGAACATTTTAATCATAGGGACATTGGAGTTATTTATTGTTGTAGACACACAGATGAGAAACCATAGACAGCTGTGATGATACAGTGATGTGAAAAAAGTACATTTTTGAACATCCAAACATTAGATCCTCTTTCAGACAATGTCTATAGATGAAGCTGATATACAGTGGCTTGCAAGAGTATCCCCCCCTTGGCATTTTTCCGTATTACCACCTGGAGTTAAAACTATTTTTTTGGCGGTTTGTATCATTTGATTTATACAACATGCCTACCACTTTGAAGATGGAAAATATTTTTTTATTGTGATACAAACAAGAAATAAGACAAAAAAACAGAAAACGTGAGCGTGCATAACTATTCTCTCTCC